GTAAAAATTCACGAGTGAAACTTAATCCTTAAAATGCGCTACATACTAACAAAATAATCGAATGAAATATAATCCTTAGTGTGCGCAAGCCACTAAAAAAAATGAATGTAATTCTTAGCGTAAGCTGTATTTTCAACCTAACGAAATGTAATCCTGAACGTGTACTACAAACCATTGAAACAATCCAATGAAATACAGTCCTCAGCGTGCGCATCATACTAACAAATTATCGAATAAAATGTAATAAAGCGTGCGCTTTTCACTAAAGAAACAAACCAATGATATATCATCATTAGCGTCCCTTAAATACTACAGAAACAATCGAATGAAATGCAATCCTTAGCTTGCGCTATACCCCCGCGAAACAATCGAATGAAATGCTATCCTTAGCGTGCGCTACATATTAAAGAAACAATCAAATGATATGTAATCGTTAGCGTGTGCTATATGCTAAAGAAACAATCGAATGAAATCAACTCTTTGCGTGCGCCTCATGATTAAGAAACAGTTGAATAAAATTTAATCCTTAACCTGTGAAATATACTAAAGAAAGGCAAAATACTTAAAAACAACGACTAAAATATAATGCTTAGAAGGCGCTATATACTAAAAAAACCACCGAAGAAAATGCAATCCTTGGCGTACGCAAAATGCTAACGAAACAATCGAATAAAATGTAATCCTTAGCGTGCCCTACATAGTAAAAAACCAATCTACTGAAATCTAATCCTTAGCGTGTGCTACATACTAATAAAGGATAAAATGAAATGCAATTCTTGAAGTGCGCTAGATTCTAACGAAACATTAAAAATGAAATGCAAAGTTAGCGTGCGCTGCATACTAGTGAAACAAATCAAATGAAATGTTATCCTTAGCGAGAGCTCTATATTAACGAAAGAATCAAATAAAATGTAATTCTTAGCGTGCGCTAGATGCTGATAAAACAATCCGATGAAATGTAATCCTTAGCGTGCACTACATACCAAAACAACAGTCGAACGAAGCATAATCCTTAAAGTACGTAAAATACTAACGAAACAATCATAGAAAATGTAATCCTTTGCATGCACTTCATACAAAAGTTCAAAAAAAGTAACCCTTGGCATGCGCTTCATACCAAAAACCAATCAGAAGTAATGTACTCTTTAGCGTAGGCAAAATACTGACGAAACAATCGAAGAAAACGTAATCCTTTACGCGCGGTAGACACTAAAAAAATTTGAATATAATGTAATACTTGGCGCAGGCGAAATACTTATAAAGATAAACCAATAAAATAAAATCCACATAAAGCACTATATACTAGAAAAACCAAGAAGGAAAATGCAATCCTTAGAGTAAGCTACATACTAAGGAAAAATTCAAATAAACTGCAATTCTTTAGGTGCGCAAGATACTAACGAAACAATCGAGTGATAAGTAATACTTACAGTGCACTACACACTAAAGAAACAATCTAATAAAATGCAATCCCTAGCATACGCAAAATGTTAACGAAAAATAGAATAAAATGTAATCCTTAGCGTGCGCTGAATACTAACGAAACAATCGAATGGAATGTAATCCTTAGCGTGCGCTGGATACTAGCAAAACAATCAAATAAAATATAATCCTAAGCATGCGCTGGATACTAACGAAAAAATCGAATAAAATGTAATCCTTAGCGTGCGCTGGAAACTAACGAAACAATCGAATGCAATGTAATCCTTAGCATGCGCTGGATACTAACGAAACAATCGAATAAAATGTAATCCTTAGCGTGCGCTGGATACTAACAAAGCAATCGAATGGAATGTAATCCTCAGCGTGTGCTAGATACTAACAAAACAATCGAATAAAATGTTATCCTTAGCGTGCGCTAGA